ACATATTTATAAATTAGCAGATACAACATAAAGATATAGATATAAGCACTTAATGCGAAGCATAAAACTGGGTTTTCTCCGTTCCACTCCCATGGAGCTTGGTCACCTGAAGAATTACTATGCCCAATTAACCCTTTGAGAACCGTACGCTTCCCGAGCATTGCCACTTCCGACGTTGCAATAGTTTTCGCCATGTAATTTTTTCGAGTTCGTCAAGGGATCACAATTCAATGTTTTTCTATTACGCAAGATCGAGTATTTATGTACAAATCTTAATGCTTGCGCTTTAATCATCTGGAATTCAAGAAGAATACTTTATTATCATTTAAGATTATTATGATTTGAAAAATATTTTCTCGTTAATTATTTTTATCATAATTTTTCGAATGAAATAAATGAAAGTTTATAGAAGAAAGTTATTATAAGAAATAAAAGTTTTAATATAGTCATTTCAAGCTAAAAAAAAATAAGTTATATAAATCATTGTATAAAAGGTTCAACGAGATAGGAACTTTATTTAAAATGAATCATACATATCACATGTAATAAATCTAAATAAATGTGCGTTAATTCATTGTATAAAAATTGCGAATCTAATGAATTTATACGATCATGCTACGAATTAAAGGGCATGGAACATCCGTCTTATGATTTTTGCAATTTATCTTTGTAAATTGATTGTACGATTCAACGTTATTAATTTCACATGAAGTATCAATTATTATAATTTTAATTTATTTTTTCTTCTTTCTTGATTTTATAAATTAATAAATGATTTGATACATAAATCATATATGATATTTTAGAAGTGATCAAACTTTTAACATCTTCTTCTACCATAACTTTTTAGATAATCTTACAAATGAATACAAAAAGTTTAACTTTAAAAACTTAATTTAGTTTTAATATTAAAAGTTTTATATTTTATATTTTTTTATTTTCAATATTCAATTTGTTTATTATATAAATATTGATCCTTTAATAATAAAATTAAAATTATATCACAAGATTAATTTTTTCATATTATATTTCATGATCAAGAATTTTTTTTTAAGACTACGATTTTCCAATGATTAATCATTCAGAATTATAAAGTAAATCTGAATGAATATCGAAAAAAAAAAAACAATGTATTTCTACTTATATAGTACCATATCTATAGATGATTTACTGAAGACTGAAATATCGTTCTTACGAGTTACTTTAAATTCATTATGCGGTCACGTATTATTACCTTGCCGGTAATTTTTAGTAATTTCGCGATTAAATCGCGTTCTACAAAACTATTTTAATAATGCGTGTTCTCGCCCGCGAGCCCACGCGCACGCATGGTTTCCTTACTATTCGAAAAAGAACTCAGAAATATAATTTAAAAAAAAAAAAGGAAAAACGATAATAAAGAAGCGACTATCGAGATCCTTCACCTCTGACCCGAGAAACTCATTACGTATGGCCGTCAATGATGAATAAATTGAAAAATTGTGAAAATAGCCAGACAATATTGAAAATTTATTCTAGCTTGTGCTTTGTCTTTCATCTGCTAAAAAATATTTTTGAGTTAGATATTGAAAATTTAGTTTTTATTAAATATAATATAAAATGTAAAAATTTCCATATAAATATATAATCGGAAATATATAATCGGTATATAAATTTATGAATATTTGCTGTAAAAATATTTTCTTTGATCAAATATGATACATGTTTTATTAGGCAAAATAGCTGCAAGGTCTTGATTGAAGATATTTAAATCGAGTATTGGAAATCATTTGCACAAATTAAAGTACAAAAAACAAAGTTAAAAATAGATGAATCATATTAGTCATGTTTATATGGTAATTATATTCTATTTTATTTTAATCTATTCTTTTCTACTATAAAAATTATTACATATACATGATCTGAAATCTTTTTCTTTTGCTCAATTAACTTTTTTAAAATTTTTTCCATTTATTAGTATATATTTTTTAGTTGAAGTTAAATTTTATTAATAGATATATTTTTATTCCTTAATATATATATATATATATATATAAAATAATAAAAAAAAATTTTTATCTAAATTCTAAGCTTAGATCCTTAATAACTTTCTTCTTCTTCATTTTTAAAATACTTGTTTCAAAATTTTTTTTTAATTCAAAAAAAGAAAAGAATTATGAAATACCTACTACAGTTTATTTTCCTTCCAAGAATTATACGATATTCATTTCTATTTCGTAAGAAGCAATTATTTGAATATCTTTGCATTTCTGAGTATATATATGTCCGTCTTCGCTTCATTCTGGCAAATCTATTGATAATTCTTCGTTCAGAAGCAACAGTGTTTCTTTAAAACACTATTATATTCCACCAATGCATAATCGGCGTGCATCTTTCCCTCAGAAATCAGTGAACAACGGAAAATTTACAATCTCAGTTGAAAAGCAGTTATAAGCATTACCGTGAGCATCGATAATATTCCAGAAGCTCATTAGCGATCCAGGAACGTCTATCCCCCTACCTGGTCGCAGGAGTAATTATCTATTACAACCTAGCTGGCGTACGTATACAACGTATAACAGGAGATCAGTGCAAACGATTAAGCTCAAAAATAGTTCATGGGAACTTAAGTAAGCTAATCTTCATCGCATTAGTGTTGTTCTAGGTATAAAATGCAAGGAGGAAGCACCTGCACGCATCTTTACCGCTCCCTGGGGTCATCACTTTCGAAAGCGAGCCGACCACCTTTGCCGTCTCACTGATCGGTATACCAATTCAATCGAGTTATTCCAATTGTTATCTGACCTAGAAATCACTCAGAAAGTCTAAACACAGGATGTGGAAAGTCTGGCTATCCAATGGTCTTGTTCATTTGAATCAATAATAAAACTGAAAAAATTTTAAATAATTAAAAATTGAAAAAAAAATATTAAAATAATTCGTCGAAATGAAAGCGAATTTAAAATAAAATTTTTTGAATATTTACCTGCAATACATCGTTGAAGTGAAACAATGAATCAAGAGAGAGAAAGAGAGATAAAAAATAACCTTTATTTTACGATCGATTTGTGAATTCAAGTTATGATTCCATTATTCTTCGTTTTTTGTGTTTATTATTAATGATGATACAAGCTGACTAACGAATTGAAGATTTTTTTTTTTACCTGTTTCCCCACAGAACATGTTAACAGCTCGATCAAGGCATTTATTAAAACTTCATAGCTTCTTACCCATTCGGAAGAAACGTAACGAACAAGTAGCCCCAATTAAGAGCGAACGCAAAACAATTACGACTGGTTAAACCATATCTATCATCGTCGAGGCTCGTATCTCTCTGCCGCTTTACGCCAGCCTGTTCATTTTTTACGTCCATTAACCTATCACCGAGTATTTCCCTCAGCGAGCAAATAACGTGCCATTAATCATTTTTCGCGCAATAAAATTGTCATTAAACGAATGGCTATGAATTCAACAAGCAACAATTCTACTTCGAACATTAGACTAACATTATTTTAGGTAAGAAAGTTGTATTTCAAAGTAAAAAATATTTCTTTTTTTTTTAGCATATCACAATACTAATATTTAGAAATTATTAAAATAATTGAATCTTCTGATAAAATATCGAAAAATAATGATAAAATACGGAACTGAAATCGTTATTCTTAATCTTTTCGTTCCTAAATTATTTGTTAACCAAAAACACTTACCTGTAATTCTTTTGACGATTCTATTATACGACAAATGATCTGTTTATTAATATTTATTTTTTCTTCCTTCTATTTTACATTTTAATATAAAATTCCAAATTTAAAATTTTTTTCTCTTTCATCCTGTATATTAACAGACTATCCCAAAACAACACGGTAAAATCTGCATCAGTATCATGGTAGCGTACGATAAGCAAGATCGCGAGTCAGAGTCGTGCGCCCTCTGTTTCGCGAAATTTACGATCGTTCGATGTCGGGTCCACCTTAGACCGCGGGAAAAATTGTTCGGTTCGCCACTGTGCCGACCTAACCTAGTATATCTACCTACCCTACGATCCGTTCATACCGTGCACACAAATGCAAGTATAAGAGAGTGTTTCGTCGTAGACCCAGGAGTTCGTTCTCGACGAGAAATTCTACCACCCGCAACCGACAACAGGCCAAGTCGGGGCAGAGTCTTAGGCCAGGGCAGGCCAGCAAGAAGTCGTGTAAGAAGGGGTTAAGAAACTCTCGAACTAAAGTGCCTACACCGGAAGCAGGGGCCTTGCTTTCTGGGCTAATAACCCTACCCACATCGACACGCGGCATCTGCGTGCGCGTATACACGTTTAGACGTGAGTACGAGAGAGAAAGAGAGAGGGAAAGATATGGAACAAGGATAAAGAGATACGCGATACACGACGAGGAAATCTTGCGTGTATGCACGAGAGAGAAGACGCACACGTAAACGGGGATCTCTTATCAGCAAAGCCAGATTTTATGTGCGATCAACTAACCGATGTAGGGATTTGTAAATATATACGCAAATTGTGATTGGTTTTTTTTTGGTTTTTAAGCGTATAAGAATTTATAATTAATAAAAGAGTAATTTTTTTTTAAGAATTTTTTAAGGATTCTGTGGATTCAAATATTATTCTAGATATTTAGAAAACATTTTTTTGTAACTGAATTAAGATAAACTCTAATTGAAATGTAAGTATATTTAATTGATATTATTGTTATTATTTAATATAAATAATATCAAAATATATCAAGGAACCTATCTTATAGAAAGTATTTTAAAAAAAGAATAGATTACATTACTTTCTATATTAAAAAATGACAGATCATCTAAATCTTAATAGCTACAATCTCTGACAGAAGGTTATCGTCATTAAAATTTTTACAGTATTGTAATATAATCACATTAATCAGCGATAATTAATAAAAAAAGAATTATGAGAAAAAATATCTTCTATAATTGGAATATAATTTAGCCGTAAAAATTCATAGGTTTTGGTACAGTTACTCGAAGGCAGTTCCACCCGTACACACCTGTGGGTCACTGAAGTATTCGAAGGCAACGATCCAACATATACCATATTTCACCGTGTTGAACCATTTCGAATAATCTTTTCCGCGGCCGCCACACTACGCAATTATCGTTATCTTCATCTGCCCGTGTTTCCATAAAGTGCAAATTCTTGCGGGAATTCTAGTTACTCGTGAAAAATTAATATCTTTTTTCTCACGATAGTCCGAATAAACCGTGGATATACGGTTAAGCCACCAATTAAATGCAGAATTAACCCGAATACGGTGCTTCTCCAAGTAGTCTCGGAGATAAGCCATACGTGCGTTCTTCGGCCGGGAGCTACTTAATAAAACGAAATTAATTTGTAATTACGTTAACCCGGATGTGACCTGTTCCCCACGTCGTCCTCGTCTGATATCCACTTAAATAGAAAATTATCAAAGCTCCGAGTTCGATTGAATCTTAATCGCAAAAAGTTAACCTAACGCGACCCAAGACGTCGAAATCTCGCGATGTCCCATCTTTTTTATCTTTCTTATGGTGAATCTATTTCGCATATCTTGAACAGTTGTCAGTTTATGGCGAATGTACTTAACACAACGTTTAATTAACGAGCATAGAGGGGTTGAGGAGAACGACGAAACCCTTATTCGTTATCACAGAAAACGGTACAGTATCCCGTTTTCTGCTTCCTCCGGTCTCACGTAACGAATTAAGCACCTGTATGTGGGATTAGAAGGTTTCGACTGACATGCCCATCTCTCCCTTTCTCTCTCACTCTCGCTATATATCTATACATCTTTTTCTCTCTCCGATTTCACTTCTCTCTCTCACACTTTATCGTACACTTCGATCCCTCTCTCCCTTACCCGTTCCCTCCGGACCTCTTTGTCCTTTTCTGCCCGCCATCTCTCCCTTCCCTCCGCCTACCAACCTTCCACGATCCGCCTTCTCTATCTCTGTCTGTTTCCCAGTCGCTTGACACATTCGCGCGGAGAAAATGCAGCGAGCTCTCCCGTAGCCACGTATATATAGGAAGGGAACGGATGTCTGGTGTGTAAGGAACCGCTAAAATGGTGTTCGCTCTTATCCGAAGATCTAGAGCGGCGATGCGAAGAGAGGCACGCGGAGGGCTATACGTAAGGTAAAAGGGGGCTCATGACTGGTTGGTTGGTTGGTCGGTCGGTCGGTTGGTTGGTTGGTTGGTTCGTTCGTTCGTTGGTTCGTCGGTTCGTTCGTTCCTTCGTCGGTTCGTTCGTTCGTTCGTTCCTTCGTCGTCGTTGTTGTTGGCTGTCTGGTTGGGTTGGTTAGTGCCGTTACCAGAAAGAGGCCACCTAGGTTCGCAAGCAGTCGAGTTAAATCTCGAACTTTCTTCGTAATGAGACACCGCGGTCACAAAATGACAAATGTAATTAAATACAGATATAATACAGAGGAAGAGAGAGAAAGAGAGAGAAGGTTAGGAGGATCTCCCGTGCTCAGGGAAACGAAGTCGTATTACGCAGATTTTCACAATGCATCGTTGCTCTTTTGCTCGTCACCGTGAGCACCACTTTGGTGGAATGCCATGAATCGGCCAAGTACGAACAACCAGAGCCCATTCAGACGCTTCTGCCAGTCATTTTGGATCCGCCTCACCATACGATTCTTCCACTCTTTTATTCGTCCTCGTAATTTTATCTTCTTGTATGATCTTCCCTCTTCATTTCATCAGTGTAATTCAACCATCGATCCTACTTGTTCCTCGTGCTTTTTGTCCTCGAGATGTTTTGCCATTGATATCAATCGGTTGACGCGGCTGTGTGTGGCAACGATTGCGCAATCTTGTAGATACATATATGCAACAGCTTATTATTATAATGGTACTTCTCTGTTGGATGAGATTATCGAAGCCAATTCGATTCATCATAAACTGGTAATCCCAAGCAGGTGATTTGATTTGCTTTTAATCGGTGATTCCAAGAGTTCTTCCTGTATTTCCTAGCTTTTATGATTAATCGATACAGATTATTGTTTCTTTTTCAAGTCAGAGGTTTTTAAAACAGAAGATTTAAATATTTTAATTTCGACAAATTGTATGTTTTGTTAAACTACAAAACAAATTAGAAAATTAGATTATGTATTAGCTTAGAAAAAATACACGTATCTTATTTGAACTTTTTAGTTTATACCGTTTGCATTAAAAAACACGAGGAAAGGATAATTAGTGAATTTCTATTATTGGAACTAATCAATTAATCAAAGTCAGTTTTATCCTTATATTTGGATAAACGATGATTAAATATTTTAATATAATTCTTTTCTTCCATTTGATAATTGTATCTTAATGAAGAATAAAATAATCATAATTCTTAGTTGAAATTTGTAATAATCGACTTCAAAAATTTTTTTTCTGATGAGTCTAAAATATAAAGATACGTAAAGAAATTAGGATATAGAAAATTCGGGATTAGTACAATGTAGAAGTCTTTCAAGTAATCAGAGATTCAACCTTGCCCCGTTTTACGTCTCTTCCATAACACAACAATGGAAACGCAATGGTACAACACATTTCACTTTTTCGCAATGTGTGTACCGGGGAGCCTAAAAGTATTGCGCGATTTCCTATGTCTTGCCGCGAGAGGACTCGCCTCGTAGACACAATGTAGATTTGGCCGTGTACCGTAAAAGCGTAATTATCATCTTTCGAAATGTGCCGGTGTCTTTCCAGAAACGTCGGTTCGTTTCCTATCTGAAAAAAAAAAAAGAAGAAAGAACCACTGTAATTCTAACTTTAAACATTCTTGTTCATATTTTTAGCGAAAAACCTTATTTCAATAAGAATTAATTAAAATGAAAAAAATTTAAGATGAAAAATCTTATTACCATTCCATGTGTTCATTCCATTTGTATAATGTTTAAAAAAAAAATTCGTTATATGATAATTATGATAAAATAAAATTTGTTACATAATAATTATTATTTCTACATACTTTTTTAGACTATTTTGTATATTATATTCTTCTTATTTTTAGAATGATTTCCTGTTTTTTTTATTTTTCCATTTTTTATAAAATAGTTTTTGTTTGTTCTATAAATAAATTATTTCCTGTTCTCATATATATATATATATTCTTCATATATATTTTCGCCTCACACATATTAATTTATGTATTCAATAATAATAATAATTCAATAATAATTATTATTTTTAATTAATACAGTATATATTTATATAATATATTACTGTACTACTTTTAGTCATCACAGAATTTCTGAAAGAATATTTTAGTTCTTATTTATTCAATAGTTCATGGAACAATATAATTATTCGAATTACATTTCAAATATTTAATATTTATTACCGATTTATTTACTTCTATTTTCTATACGAATAAATTAAATTTAAAATATATATAATTTCTTTCCTCTTAAAATGTGAATATCGCTATACATACAAAATGTTAACACAACTTTCTTTACGGTACGTCATCAATTTATTCGCGCTCACGCTCAAGTTTGTACACCAATGAACGTTTTCGCATAATTTCTAAAGGATTAGATATTTTCCCCGATGAAAGAGGTCTTTACTCCAACAGTTGTACACAGATAAGAAATATCGATTCGATCGATTGGATCGGAAGTAGCCCATCCTCAGCAGCGCCTGAGTGGCTCGATAAGACGCGCGAATCCCGCGCGAAATGCCGAAGCTTATTTATTGGCAGTCGCATTCCTGCGTACAGAACGCCATACCGTGGCTTCCACGCGAACCCGACCGAATACTTTTCTGTGATTCCAACCATCCCAAAGCCCACGGACCGCGTTACATTCCTGCTTCGATCTTCCAGCGATCTCACCAGATCTTCTTCCTCGACGAGGCAACAGCACCCACTGGGTGTATATTCACGCGCCGCGGGAGCTCGCATAAAACTGCTCCCGAGTTTGGTAGGGTCAGAGATCACGTTACCAGCCGATAAAGATCTCACGTGAATGATTGTCGATGATATTTCACTTAAGGGATCGTCAAAGTCTGCCGCGCACATGGTCTGATATATCAGGAATTTCTTCCTGGCTACATCATCCTTCGTTTCGTTCTATACTTTTCCGATCATTTTGGATGATCTCTTCGATTTATATAAGACATCTTAACATATTATACTAATTGCTTATTTTAGTATATTCATCTTCCGTTAAAGTATGTTAATGTTTTAAATTTGAATATTGTTTCAACAATACGCATCATTAATTATGTTTTTTATATTATAAAAAATAGCGACAACTAATAATAACAAAATATTTGATAATAATATCACTTATAAAGATTATTTTTTTTTTTATCAAATATATTTGCTCAAAGCGCATGATACGAAATCAATAAGATGTATTAGAGAACTGGAGAGGCACGTAAATTCTCAAATTAATTTCGATCTGTTATCGCGATTATGTTGCAGTGGCGCCACCTCTTGCAAATTAAAGAGAAATTCTAGCACATATGGATATTCATAACGCCATTCAACACGCAACGAACACAACGAGCTACTCTTTCTTTTCTTATTCTTTTTTCCGATTTTCTGTAATTGTTTCGCGTTTGATTGTAATATGTATGTTTACTTGGCACTGGCAGTATGTGTTTGCACTGCCGTTTAATTAACTAAACGTAGCATAGACCGATAAATGGCACGTATCAGCTATAAAACCACCGCCTTCGACACTGCTGATAACACTACGTTGTTGGTTTCTTACCCACTGTTATGTCAGCAGTTGTGTTCAAAAAGTACCTTCACGCCTACGTTTCTCTACGTACATATATACCAAGGATAGGCACAGACAATAAATATGTGTATTCATGCGTGCTTGCGCATTATGTGAAAATTAATTTTAGAAGCATCCCTTACTGAAAGAGTGTTTTTCTACTTGATATTTTCCTTACTGCAATAATTCAAAAACTTATTCATCATAATTTATATTTTGTATTATTATAAGTTTATTATTATTTCTATTTTTTCGTAAATTATTTTAATAACATTTAAAAATAATTTTTTGGTATAAGAAAATTCTGGTTAACATTGATTTTAATAAATGATATCATTTTCATATAATTATAGATGACTTAATATGATAAATATTGAAATATTATTAAACAAGATAATGCAAAGATAAAAAATTTAACTAATCTTTTGTTTTATGATAGACTAAACTAGTTAATATATTTGTATCTATTTAACGATGATTTAAACGATGATCAGACATTTTGTCATTTAGAAGTGAGATAAATGTAATCTCATCACAATTGATCTTGTTATTATTAATTATTATCATTAATATTAATATGTATTTTAATTTTACTATTAATATGTATTTTTCAAGAATTCTACAATTAATGTATTTTTTGTTATCATAGAAGTTGTAAATATTGCAATGATTCAACATTTTAATTTTCAATATTAATTTTAAATATTTTTTTATACATATTTTAACACTTTCTTATACTACATAATATAAAAAATATACTGTAAATGTATTGTAAAAAATGACCATTAAAATTAATCTAATACAAATTTATATAATAATTACTGCTTTCAAGTTGATAATATATTTTCAATTGCAACAAGTTATTATTTACATACCTTTTTTTTAAACTTCTCTTCAATTTTGTTATTAGATCATCATAAATTCAATAATCATCATAAAATGAATAATTATTATCAATATAAATTTAAAAGATTCTTTTTTGTAATATCAGCACTTGATTATGTAACGGTAAATTTTTATTATTCATAAGATGAGCGTAGTGTATTGATTTTATACTTGATTATATTTCATATAATTGCATGATCATGTCTAGGAATAATTATTAATAATATATATTCTACTTCCTTTTTTAATTAAGGAAATAAATAAAAAATGTTAACCATTTTCTTTCATCAATTATTGATAATTTCTTTCAATTTATAACTCCTGCAATAGTTTTTATATCTATGATTAATTTAATTAATTTATTTTAATAATTTTAATTTTCTTATTTCTTTCACAAAGTTACCTTTTTTAATTCAATCAATAATTTATCATATTTTAATAATTAGATTGTAGGAACTAACGTTGAAATATCTATATATATTTATAATGCATAATGTATAAAAATATAGAGACCAACAGAACACATTGAGTCAATTTTATATGATGCAATTTCTATCACATCTGGCTAAAAGCGGCAATCTTCACGCTCGTAACACCTACGGCCATTAATAATTCTTGCCCGGTACCTTTACCACGTGGGTTTTCCCTGTACAACTGCAAACGACCATTTCTAGAGGCACGTTAAGATCGCGGCTTCTGTGTGCGTAATGCAGTGGATGCGTCTTGGTCGTTGGTTGTCCGACTCTTGACTCGATTTCGCGACCGCAAGTCGAGAGATATATCTCTCCCGATTTCCTTCCCTCTCGTTCTTTCTCTAGTCTCTTTTCGCTTCTTTTTGTTACTCATCCATTCCAGCATCTCGCTTCCCTATGCTCACAGCGACTCATTCCCTCTTTGTTCTCTTCGTTCCTCTCATCCCTTCCGTGGTTGTGCTGATTCTCCCTTCTCCTCCCATCCCGCCAATGGGACAGGGAGATAGCAGACCCCGTCGAGGAGACAACATAAAGATTTAAGACTCCAAGATGCGCCAATAAACATGCTGCGGCCGTGCAGTCAGCCTGCGCTTCTCTACTGCGTTCGCTTCTGTTCCATTTCATTCGGTTCCGCTCTGCTCTGTTCCGTTCCGTTCTGTTCTCTGTTCTGTTGTGTTCTGTTTCACAGCCACCACACAGGAAATATGCATGTGTGTATATGTGCATATATAAGTGTATGTATACATATAAGCGCCACTCTATCCGCTACACACATGGGGATACAGGTTACCTCTCGTATGCACGTGGTGCCACGGCACGGCTGCGTAACGTGCTTTCGAAAAGTGTCTCGATGCGTATGCAGATATGCGGCTTAGCATGAATAGTATCTAGATCCGGCCATGGATAACCTGCTACGATACCAGCAAATTCGAGCACTGAGACTGGATTTCTAGAAATATACCGGAAAAAACTTTTTTTTCTTTATTAGATAGAAATTGTAGAAAATACTTACAAAATTCATGCATAATTATCATCTTTTATTTTTCTTAACCTAACTTAATATATATGCGTATATATATATTCTCAAGCATGCGCAGAATCACTATTCAGTGTGCAACTCCTCTTTCTCCGACACTCTTTCATTTACCGCCCTAATACATTCATTAACGTTACAAAGATCGTTAAATGGATCTCTCCCGTCCCGTTCCTCCCACGACAAAATCACTTGTCCTTTAAAATCCATTCGAAACATCCTCGAAGTGATCTACGACTTCTACTCGAACGCGTCGCTGTCGAGGAGGAAGAGACCTTCCGGATAACGAGACAGAAGTACACCTGCCGCGTTCGTAGAGGAGGCAGGACACGCTGAAAAGTTTTCAATGCGAGGACGGTCGTACACCGCAAAAGTAGTAGATCGGGACGTAGTTGGTCGTCCATGCGGCAAGAAGGAATCAACAGTGGAACCGTTGCTGGCTGCTTCTGGCCGTTGCTACTGCTCCAGCTCCTACTTTTGCCTGTCCTCTCGCTCTCCTCGGCCCGGCTTATTTATTCCTCTCTCTGTCACTGCCTCCCTTTCTTTTGCGACTTCTTCTTTATTTCTGTCCTTTTGCCCGTTTTCTGCTTCCGCAAACGACAGCCGCTTATTTATACCCCGTCTTTGCATCGCGCGGGAGCGAGCGAGGGCGCTTTTGCGTTTACTCACTACTGCCGTTCCCTCTGCCGCTTCTGTGTTGCTCCGCCGGTACTTCGCTTCTTTACCCTTTCGCTCCCTCCTTTTGTCGTTCGTTTCTTTTTCTTTCCCTCTTTCTCTTAACTGTGGCCAACCGTATGCTAGCGAAACATCAACGGCGAGGCACTTTGCTCACGAACACGGAGAGATGCGCTCGATGCGAGAGGCAATACCGCGACTGCATCACCTGTCAACGCGAGATCGCGTTCCAACAAGTCTATATTACATGCAGCATGTATGCTAGTCGGTAATCGCCTGCATCATCGGCTAATTTGTCAAACGAGAAATTTATGATGATCTTTTTTATCCATATAGAAGCATTGCTTACGATAGAGAAAAGATTATATTTTTTATTACCAGAAAATTTGCATAATATTATATTAATTTTGTTTGAACATTTGATAGATATAGTGATATATAAAATTGATATATTTATTTTTTTGTGATGTATATTTTTTAATATAAAATTAACTTATTGAAATTGATTTGGATTTCTTTAGAATTTGTCTGTTTCTTTCTGTTATTCAAATATATATAATTTAAATAAAATAAGAATAACAATTCTATATGAAATAACAATATAACAATTCTATATGAAAGATATATAACAGTCATAGAAAAGTAAATTAATCAATTTATTGAAGTTGGCAAAATTAGTATCAATGATACTCTTTATCAGAAAGTTAAATTGAAGAAAATTGAAATCATGGTGGTATTTTATATAAATTGTATAATTATGCAACGATGAAATGTTGTTAGCCTTTATACGATCTTGAGATTTTATGATATGTTGATTCTTTGGATCACGAAATAGACATAATTTAGTTGATTTGATATGTTTTTATTTGGCGAGGAAAAAGAGAATCATATCTCAAGAGATCCGTATGTTGGAAATTCCAAAAGAAAAACTTGAAATAGATAACAATTGAAGACTGATAAATAACTGATAAGGGGAGCTTAATTTTTAATTTACTATCAAAAAGACTATTACTATATTTAAATCGGAACACGTGAATGTATTATTACATTCTTGTAATCAATGCTGCCAAGAAATATCAATTCATCAGTTTGAAATGTAATAATTTCCGGATTAATTTCGATAAGCACGCATCGATGATGTAAGGATCTTATATACGGGAAGAAAAAGAGCGAATAGATTAAATCTGATCACGAAATAACTAAACGATTGAGGCGCGGTACGAACTATGGTTCGTGCACGCCCTTGCTAAAGCTCCGAAGACCCGAACAAATAAATGTTGAAAAGAGGAACAAAAACGACATTATGTGGCATTAACATACAAAGTATGTCAGACCCGCGGTCCGCAGGCATAACATAGTATCGCGGCGTTCGCATACTCCGCCCGCTTTACAGTGACCAGAAGGAACGGGAAAGCATTGAAAAGAGACCAATCCCGAAAGCGACGAACAGAGAAAAGAGAAGGGTAGAAGGAAGAATAGCAAGAGAGAGAGAAAAAGAATGAGTGTCGAATGTGTTCGAGTAGAGGCAATAGGCTGTGTGCGGAATAAAGAAGGCAGAATGATGAACGCAGAAAGGTGTGTGTGCTGTGAAAAAGGAGAAAGGAGGAAAAGGAAAAGAGAGCGAGAGAAAGAACTGAGGGAGCAGAGAGAAACGTTTACGCTATCCTCGGTCCTCCGAAGTCCCATCCCGTCCCATCCCATCGTTTCGTTGTCCCCGTGTGTG